ACTGCAGTCCAGTGATCCGAAAACAGCTGAGGCTGCGACATAGTCTTGCTGCAATCTGCACTGTCTGGTACTTACTTCATTCTGTGTCGTGCCTTCACCTTCCTGCGAACATGCGTTTCTGTCAACCTCAACCACACAGGTGCAGGTCTTCTAATCCTCAACTCATTACGTCAAACAACATCTTCCAAAGCCAAAGGCGTCACCACTCTCCTTTGACTCTTCACAAGTGATTCCTCAACATTGTTGTCCGAAATCTCAACTTTGGCCAAAGGCCGCGCAGGTTCGACGTCGTCATCTTCGCTGACAACTTCGTTTCCTCCCAGAGAGTCTTCGTCCTTTAATTCGACAATTTTTGAGTGAGAATTTCCTGTTCTACTTCTCTGTCAGTATTCCCATATCTTGATAGACATTAATAAAGATCGGGGATAGATAAATCTGTTGTCTCCTGTACCTGTTATTCACATTCTTGTCATTGACGCTCCACAAGAATTCGAGCTCTGTGAATTCGCTTCCCCGTCACTGCTCGCTCCACGAATTCTACCTGCCATGATGCCATGTACGTCGTCCACAAAGGCCTCAAAATTTGCATTAGTGCCACTGCCACATTGCGTCTCAGCGGGTCGATGTAATCCACCGTCATTCACCTATTCTTAGTTGATCTATGCCACAAAAATATTGCTGCAACTTTCCTCTCTTCTTGCATAGTCACTTTCACGCTGTGCTGATTGTACATCAAATCCCCTTGTTGAGTTACGCACGACCTCAAGATTTGAATCCATTGCTCCACCGTCCAGCTCTCCGGACAACGACAATTTCCAGTGCACTCTGTCTTGCGCGCCTCGTACCACTCCAACACGATCGCCGTGCAGACCTAATTCCAACCCAAGAGTAAAGAATCGACCTCGACGGCTATCATCTCCTCTTGATATACCCTTAATTTAAATTTTGGCACTCTCAATGTCTTCAATCAAAGTCCCAAAACTCGCACCATCACTGCGCCTTCAATAACTCACTCGTGATTCTAGCAGAATTCTCAATTCGAAAGTGAAATCCTACAAAATGTCCTCGCGGAACTCCCTTTTTTGCTCTTCGCTCTTGACATCCTAACCGTCACGGGCGAACCTTCTGTGCGATGACCAAAGTTACTTCTCGCCGGTGCCGCCTTTTACTAAGCCCAAGTTACTAGCCCGAAGTCGAAGGTGTCCCGGCCGAAGTTTCTTCTTCTCTTCTTCCTACTGTCTCTACCAGCAACTTCCGACATCCATAATTCAGTGACTTCCTATTTGTTTCAAAAGTTCTTAGGTTTGTTAGAACGAGCATGATGAGATCCATCTATCAAGATTCTTTCTAATTTAAGTCGCTACTAACTGACAACGTTAAGAGGTATCTACTCTAGCAGATCATGACCTATATAATTTAACTTCATTGTCTGCAAACCAAAACACTAACTCAGATAGAGGGATATCTAATATAGATTCCAACTAATCCTAACTAGTCATCTGCTACAGAATACTTTCCCTACTCTATTTCTAATTATTCTCACCATAAAAATGTAAATTTTTATCCATCTATTCTTCAAACTTCATCTTTTTGAAAAAATATAAAATTTTGAGGTACCACACACGGCTAACTCTCGTAGGAGAGTAGATAGTCGGCGAAACTTGAAGAACTGTTAGTTCTTCAAGTTGAGTCTGTTGTGTAAAGAATTTTTTGGTTTCCGCTAGCTTCGACTCTAGGTCTCCATTGGAGTGAGTTGGGCTTTACTAGTGTGTATGCTTTGGTTCATCTATGTGTGTGTGAGTGACATACCACCAATGTAAATTGTGTGACGATACATATTAGCATGACAACTGCCACATGTAATCGGGCACGCCAAGGTCTAATGTTCAGTGTACTTTGACATGTCGAAGCTCCAAGTAGGAATGAAGAGTCATTTTAGAGATTAGCTTCGTCTACTGCTGCAGTAGAGCTCCTCGCATTTCTCAACTCTGCACCACATATTGAACTCTCTTGCGTTTCTAGTGTGAATGTGAACGAATGACTTGCCATACTTCACTAAAGATGTCAAACAATCGCACATACTCTGGCCTTGCTTCCTTCGTTTGGAAGAATGAATCGCTAATTAGTTTGTCCATGAACTGCTAATTCGTTACACCAATTTAGCCTGTCGACTAAGAACTCTACAGGATTTCAAGCTGGCTTGGTTTGAGGTCATGATGTACGCGATGACAATCGACTGTAAGTACGGATTTTTGCGTAGGTAAGTGGATCAACGTGGTAGCATGCATGTTGGACCTGCCATCATCTATCTTACTACTCCAATAAAGCAATTTTTTTTTACTTTCATATATAGCGCACAGTCCAAGTGATGGTTGTCATAACAAGATGCAACGAAGAGAGATCTCATAGGCCTTTCCCCCTGCACCTTGCGGCGGTATCGACGCAATGTAAAAATCCTGGACTTATGATGGGCAAGTGGCACCCAACCTGTACGCGACTCGAGATTCTCAACAGGCTCTAAAATCAAAGTAAAACATTGTAAGAGATAGCCACCGACAGGTTCGACACCGAGCCTCCGTTTGAAGTTTATGGGAAGCAAGATAAGCTTGACATTGCTCGACGACCCCACAGTACTCGGGTGGGACCACAATGGCGAACTCCGACCGAGCGGATTGCTCAGTAGCACAATTGCCTTGCACATGGGCTACGATTTGACGTCCTCTTGTCTTGCATGTAAAAGGGCGGCAAAAAATTATGTGTAAAAATTAAAATATTATGTAGGATTATATCAAGAAATAACCAATGCAATTTGAACAGTTTACGAATGGCTAGCCAAAGTGTATGCATTGGTTCACATTAAAAAACTGTTCATAAATGCTATTAAAAAGTATTCCATTTACACAATCCAGATATTTTCAAATGTGACCTATTTCAGATCTATCAATTGGTCACGTTTCGATTTTGATTACAAGTCAAACTTTTTATTTATCTTACTCCTCTTAATTACATTACTAATTTTTTTTATTTCATGATGTGAAATTTCATACTTAGAATTGATCTCTGTTGCTTTCTAATCTTTATAGTACATAATGCTCAGGCTTTTGATTGATAAATTTGTTAAAGTTTAGTTATCTTGTTAGCATTATGAACGTGATTGCATTCATGTTTTTCAATTACACGAATTTATTCTTACACAAGAATGCAAAGTTCATGGACTATGGAAAGATAAAATCCTATCATAAATCTTTTTGGACTGTGGTTTCCAAAAAGATGACCTCTTTAGATGAAGTATCGCCTACTACCCACAAATCAGAACCCAGTTGTCTCTATCTTTTGGTCCTTTGTTGATTTGCGGGTTCCCATGGAGCCTACCATAACGGTGGATTCCACAATTTGACCTATTGTTGTTTACTTATTGTTCATTGTCGATTCATGGTTCAATGTCATTGTATTTGAACGGAATACTAATCTTCCGATAGTCAAAGGAAGGTCGCAGCCATGGCCGATATAAAATTCCAGTATAGAGTTTCCGAAGAAGGTCCTATATCCGTTGTCAGCCATGTCTTACAAACGATGCCTGATCCGAGTGACGTTGCGGTGAGATAAGCTTGAACGAGGACGGATCCAGAAAAATTATCCACCCCCACTCTAACGCCAGGCACTGTACTTTATTTTGTCCCCTGAGCTGGATCACAACCTACCCAGCAACTGCTGAGTATATTCTTGGCCTCATTCGGTCAACGATCAGTTATAGTCTATAACATATATCTATAACTTATAGATATATGTATGTTTCTAGCGATGCGGACTTGAACAGGAAGCTTCTTTCATTCCCCTGAGAGATTCATCGAAAAATCTGATAATCGGGCGTTCATTTAGGATTTGCAACGATGCGAAAGAAACAATTATAACATCTGAGGATGTGTATATTCCTTACGATGAATCCTGCACTGATGTACACCAGACTAATTCAGGTGAAAACGTCCGTGCGTTTTCCATCTGAGATCTTCACAGCGATTGCGAGTGAGAAGTTCACTAGAGTAGGTGATATCAACTCTCAGAGAAGCCAGCTGGAGAAAGAGGAGGAGAGATTCCCCCCGTGGTTTAGATCGGTGGACGCCCTAGTTGAGTCATCTAAAACCTTTTGCCGACTCTCGGTGGAATACGAGACTACTTTAATACAAAGCTACAAACTCAAAGTGTCCGTGACTTTTTGCATTCGTATTGAAAATGTTGTGGTTTTCGTTCCAATTGCTTGTTGCATATATCATGTTACAAAGAATCTTAATCGGTCCATATTTGATATTTAGAGTGATTAAATAACCTCAACAAACGAATAAATTATCTTGTTGGAACAATTTGAATATTTAAATTGTTTCATCAAGATAATTTAATCATTAGTTTCAATCAAAAGTACTATTTATAACAATAAATTCAAAATTTCAATACACCAAATTCTTATATTGAACACAATTTGATTCTTTAAATTTAGCAAAGACTCCGGTTGGACAAGATCTGGTCAAAAAACTTTTGGAGATTCTGTTAGGTCTATAGAAATTGAAGAGAGGCAGAATAGAAATGCTCTTGCCTCTCAATTTGCAGGCTCACCTACCGAAGACAAACTGGACTATCGCGTGAATAAATGAGTAACCTAAATAGCGCACAAGTTGGATGTACCATTATCCATCAACTATTCTTAGACAGTTGCTAACACCACCACACCAATCAATATTAACGGAGTATAAGAATTTAAAATTTACAATATCATCTACTCCTACATAAATCAAAATAAATTAGATTATCTTGTGCATTGAACATGTTATAATGTAAGCAAGTGAACTTGAAAAATTGCTGTTAATTTTGCCACCTCTTCCAAAATTATCAAAATATTTCATCTTCAATATGCACCCGAGTACCAAAAATATTTGAATCCAACACGAGTATCGAATCAGACTGTAAATATGTGAAATAACATGGACTTTTACTTGTAATAGACTTTCATTTGTTTGAAATGGGGGAGGTGATGTTAGAGACGGGACATCAGCACTCTCCTCAACACCATTTATGCCTGAGCTTCGAGTAAACTATTATACGTTCTCTCGATTCTAGTGTTATTACTTCAAGTTTTGTAACTTGTGTTAATTCCAATCTTTTATCAATTGCAATAGACAATAGAAAAGAGCTTCCCAAATTGTGGCTTCCGCAACTCCTTCCATCCACCAACATCCCAAATCTGGACGTTTCACCGACCGTTGTACATGTATCTTGGGCAGTTCTTGCTCATCTGTTGCAGTATTCCTGACCTGCGGCATTTTATAGCAAGATCAATACATTTCTGTCTTCTTAGTTCAGATTTGTAACCAGGAAACAGCAGAAATCCATGCCCAAAATCTTTTGCAAAACAGGAAGTATATAGAGAAGCATAAAAGGTCATGTAGCACTCTACGCATTCGTAAGATCTCGATACTAAGAGAAGTTAATGGAAGTTACCTTGACATGAATCTCATCAATGAAGTTAAGTAAGTGCAGATACGAAGTGCTAGTTCTACTCGCTGGTTGGCAGATTGAAAAGTGGTCTTCGTTGACCATGATGAAATCTCTATATCTTGCAGACGCCTCGTCAACTATGACTCCGCTGAAACCGTTTGGCTGGAGAGGAATAAACAGTGAATATCCCACAGTGGAACAGAATCAGATTGATTGAAGCAAGATAACGTATATTTATGTACATAAGAAACTTATTCTGTAAAGACTTTCAGTCAATGTGAATGCACTGAAAACAAGGGACCACATGATAAATATGTCCAAAGGAGCTGCTATGCAGAGTGATTACTGAAAGTTACCAGAAGCGTAGGTAACGATTCACCCACGCCTGCAACTCTCCACTCGTACTTTTCACAAAGACGGTCAAAAACATGATTGAGTCTTGCCAAGTCTTTGCTGAACACCTTCACGTAGTCAACCAGCTCTCCTTTCTCGAAGTTGATTTCTTCTAGAACATCTGTGAATGAGCTTCCACGATGAGGCACTCCGAAGAAAAATAGGCCTCTCAGGTTGTGAAGAAGAGTGGTTTCCGCTGGAATATTCTCACCAAGGCTCCTAGTTAGGTGAGCTTGTCGACAAATTTCTTTTGCGATTATTCCTCCAAAACTGTTTCCAACGAAAATGACTGGTCCGGTTTTACCAACACGTGCCATTATCAGCTCCTGCAACAAATTCTCTGATACTTGAAATATATCCATTCTCCCATTTTTGCTATCCTTCTTCATGCTGGCGTCGTAGGAGACTGCAAGTATACGCAAGCTAGGGTTGTCTTCGTGAAGCCAAATCAACCATACTTCTCCTGTCTTAGATCGAGATTTCCAACTTGATAGATGCGCTTCATGCGCTGGCCCTAGCCGAAGACCATTTAAGAAGACAACGTCGGTTCGTTTTTCTGATGCAGAGCTCAGCTCGTGAACTGAATCACTCTTCTGAACACATCGCAGTGTCGATTCTAGTCAATGGAGAACATTCTTACAGTTTTACTGATCATGAACTTTGAAGTGAGATTCTGTCGTCCGACTACCTAGGGTATGAGAAGGAAACACTTCGAGTATATTCCAAGAGATATTATATGCAAGAGAGTTAAATCTGAAAAGTTAAAGGTCCAAATAGAAGGCATAATGTAGAAGATTGTAATATCGTTATCGGCGTTTGGAGGATGCTTGGACTTGAGAGGAAACAAGTTTGCAAAAGGTGATGAGATAAATTCACATGTTCGCTGCCTAGAAGCATAATGATAACAATCTAGAATGATTGTCAGCTCCTGCTCAAACTCACAGGCTTTATTGTGCAGAAAGAATGAAGACGATAACAATCAGCAGAAGCTAATACGAGAATCGAGTAAAGCTTTCGTGTGACAAAACAGAGTGAGATTTCCGCACCTGCTTCCAACCGGATTCTCGGAAGCTTCGAGCACTGGAGGGTTCAATTTCCTGCAATCTGGGCACCGGAGAGCAGAGACCACCTGGGCATCGAAAACCCTGGAAATAAAATAAAAGAACTGCTAGTAGAAAACCACTGCAACGAAATAAAAGAACCAGTAAGTCTCATGTTCATATTTAGAGGTCAGAGCTGCTCCATGGAACCATGCAGAGTCAAGTTTTAAAAGTGAGGAACTTTACATCCTCGAGTATAAAAGTTCCTTCTACGAGTTGATTACTGTGCTTGAGGTTCGGAATTAGACCTCAAAGAATGATAGAGAATAGGTAATAATGAGGTTCGAGGCTCGAGCAGCTCAAGAATACTGATGTTCGCACAAGATGGTCAATCACTTCCTAATTTGACGGAATCTGGAACAAATGTCAGATTACAACACTTGAAGCTGAAAGACAACAGTACGCAATCCGATATCAAGAACATATGAGCTGGAGATTTAAGGCGGAAGAGCATTCTTCGTCATGGCATATGGAAAACAGACCTCCGAAATCCACTGCTTATTCCTCTACACTCGAACCTGACAAAGTGCTGAAAAATACAATGTACTTGAGTATTGGCGTGTTTCACAGTATTTGAACAAGCCAACACCATTCTTTGAGGTAGGTGAACTGTAAGTTTTGGAAGAAGTCCCTGTGTTCTCCAAGGAAGCAGACAACTATCCATCAAACTCCTTGCGATCAATCACATCTTCTACACATCTTCTCGAAAACTTTAGATTTCGTACCATATCGTAGTTCGAGGATACATTGTTGTCAAATTACGAAGAGAACCGGATCTGCTTTTCCTGTCTGCGCCTTGAGTTCGCGGTTTCATTGCTGTCAATATGCGAGGAGTACTGGATCTGCTTTTCGAGTGTGCGCCGGGTGGAAATAGATTTTACGGTCAAAGTGAAACAAGTCATCCTAATAGATGGGGCAGTCATGTGTCAAGGTCCGTGCATCGCAAGTGTTGCGCAAGTGTTGCAAGTGTTGCCCCCCGTTGTTAGCATGGCATTGGAGGAGAAAAAAGCGGTCCCCTGGTCGGAGCGGGAGGTCGGGCTTGCGGGCCCTCCCCGAGCCTCGTCACTTTGGGGAGGGCCCGCAAGTGGAACTCGAAATCACTTCGAAAGGACCCGAAACGCCGACACAGTGTTCCGATGCTGTCTCGTGGGTGAGTCAACCCGGACGCCTGAGTGTGTCCCCACCCTCGATGTCTCGGACATCGAGGGTGGGGACAGACTCAGACTTTCGAGTTCCCCTGAAAGTGGAGAGCCGCTCCCCACTTTCGGGGGAACGGGATGTCTGCCCGCCCGGGCCCGCAGCTCAGGGAGGGGCCGGAAGTCCGACCTGACCAGGGGACCGCATTTTTCTCCTCCAATGCCATGCTAACAACGCATTTCGTGGTTTGCTAGATTCATCTACTTTCCGATACATCATAATGATATGAAAAGTGAAATGTCGTATTCACTTAGACGAATATGATTATGCAGGCCTACTATGTGACTAAACACGATCACTATAATTAAGTGCCATAATATAGGACTTTCTTCACTTCTTTCCCTTGATCTTCCACGGGATGTACTTCTAGAAAAATTGAAGTTCCTCCTCGGACTGGAAAATGAATGAGAAGTGTACCGAAATAGAGGAGCATGTTTGGGGCGTTCACCAAGATAAAACAATTATCTGATAATTCTTGTTATCTTGTCATTCAATTTTATTCATGATAATTATTATCATGAATAAAATTCGACCTTCAACTTTTTCTGTGCACGCCGCGTTTTCGTCTCACAGCTGGCTTCAGTCTCACTGCACTGTCTCATTGTATAGATTGGTTTGGAGCAAAATCTGTTTCTTTCTGGAACGCGTGGGATTTCGACATATACACGACCCACGCCTCAGTGTCACAGAACTCCTCGGACCACAGTGTCCCGAGTGTGCGCCGTAGGGAAACAGACTTCAGAGTCAAAGTGAATCTGAAATCCTCGTTAGACGCAACTGCAGCTATATCCGAGTCCTTCGCGTCGGAATATATACGGCATCTAGACGTATATTCTCGCCGACCGACGCCGAACCTTGTAACCATATTATGCCAGGTGTTGGTCTGAGGCATATATACCTGTGCATGGTTCCACATGACATGGCACTCCGTGTGGTTGGTGCCTTTCGCACCAATCGATCTTAGTTGCTGCAGTCCTACCCAAGTCGATTACCGCATCCCATATACATTTTCTTTTCTTTCTAACGACCCGCCCGTTCTGAAAACGCGGAGAGAGGCCCAGCGATTGGCAAAGCATCGCACGTCTTGCGGTGCCCGGTTCGCCCCCGACTGAGTCTAATCAACTGTTTGACTAAAAGTGACAGACGACAGTGACAGACGACAGACGACAGACTATATCCCTGCGAAGGAATGTTTTGCATTGACTACGTTGTACAAACTGATCATTGGCCAGCTTGTTTTCCTGGACGAGACATTCTCCAACTCTTGATTGCGGCCTATCATGGTGTACAGTACTCTAACGACATGTTTAGTTGCTGAAAGTAGTAATTTTGGGTGTGTTTGTAATCTTACATTGTTCAAATGACCGCATCTTCGGAATATCCCGGTCAGCGGATAATCATGAGAAATTTTGGATGAACTCAAATGAAAATAATACGAAGCTTCCATCCATGAAACACTGTTCTGGAGTCACCTGAACACTTATCTTACTTCTCCTCTCCTTCCTCGAAAATATTATTCTCGTAGGAGACGACGTTCTCGGTCATGTTCTGAAGCTCTATAATTGACGGATATGACAAGGATAGCACTGATGTTCTAAATCTGTTGTTCTCCAATAGGGAGGCATATGGGTGGCCACAGCAATTCTCACAGTAAGCTGGCAACGTCGCCTTGATATTCAAGATATTCCGAACTTTATAGATGACGATATTCATATAGTGAAGGAGTCTGTACTATGGTGGGAGAAGCGGTACAAATGATCTGCCTTCAATCATTAATGGACCCTCCAAGATATCAATCAGTTAATTTACGCTGCAATTGAATATTATTTGGATCATATCATTTCTCCACGTCTCCTTAATCTTCTGTATCATGAGTACTGATCAGTCTAACTATCTACGACGTTCTGGAAGAGACCATTATTTCTGAATCGAGACCATTCGGTGGAAGGATAGTGAACTGGTTGATGTTATAGTAGAGTGATATGCAGTGACTTGAACTTCGGCTTTGAACCAACGGGAAGCAACTCATATTAGCGAGCGCACGAGTCTATCTTATTTTGAGTCATGACTATCATGTTCTTTTTCTCAAAGTGCTTTGATTATTGAATTCATATGAAATCAATCGAGGTAGGTGAAGGTTTTTCCGATACCGATGTGGTGTGTACACCGTTTGACGTAGATGGGTCTTACCGCGTCTTGCCCTTTCGATTTCATCCCTGTACTAATCGATCAGGTAGTCTAGCGATATAAGAAGATTCATTGCCAATGATTGGACATCAAATGAAAGACATAGTAGAACAAAAAAAAGTAGGGGAAGAATGAAAATGTTGACTTGTTCTGAAAATCTGGAATCCTCGTTAGACGCAACTGCAGCTATATCCGAGTCCTTCGTGTCGGAATATATACGGCATCTAGACGTATATTCTCGCCGACCGACGCCGAACCTTGTAACCATATTATGCCAGGTGTTGGTCTGAGGCATATATACACCTGTGCAAGGTTCCACATGACATGGCGCGATCGATTGGTGCCTCTCGATCGCACCAATCGATCGAGAGTAACTCTGAAACAGATTTCGAGTGAACTCTGAAATCTTTTGTCCTACGGCGCACACTCGTTCTCCTCGTTCTCACTCCTGGACAGTTCTCCTCGTAAACTGAAATCACACTGATTGAAACACTCTGAAATCACTCAATCCAGTTCTCCTCGTAAACTGACAGGAATGGATCCGCGAACTCAAAGCGCAAACAGGAAAAGCAGATTCAGTTCTCCTCGTAAATTGACAGGAATGGTTCCGCGAACTCACGGCGCAAACAGGAAAAGCAGATCCAGTTCTCCTCGTATATCGACAGCAATGGATCCGCGAACTCAAGGCGCAAACAGGATCAGCAGATTTCGTCGTAATTTGACAACAATGAATCTACCAGCGATATGGTACGAAATCTAAAGTTTTCGAGAAGAAGTGTAGAAGATGTGATTGATCGTAAAAGAGTTCGATTGACAGTTGTCTGCTTTCTTGGAGAACACAGGGACTTGTTCCAAAACTTAGGGTTCACCTACCTCAAAGAATGGTGTTGGCTTTTTCCAAATACTGTGAAACAATACTCAAGTACATAGTATTTTTCAGCACTTGTCAGATCCGTGTGAACAGGAATACGCAGTGGGTTTCGGAGGTCTGTTTTCCATATGCCATGGCGAAGAATGCTCTTCCGCCTTAAATCTCCAGCTCATATGTTGTTGGCTTTTTCCAAATACTGTGAAACAATACTCAAGTACATAGTACTTTTCAGCACTTGTCAGATCCGAGTGGACAGGAATAAGCTGTGGGTTTCGGAGGTCTGTTTTCCATATGCCATGGCGAAGAATGCTCTTCTGCCTTAAATCTCCAGCTCATATGTTCTTGATATCGGATTGCGTACTGTTGTCTTTCAGCTTCAAGTGCTGTAATCTGACATTTGTTCCAGATTCCGTCAAATTAGGAAGTGATTGACCATCTTGTGCGAACATCAGTATTCTTGAGCTGCTCGAGCCTCTAACCTCATTATTACCTATTCTCTATCATTCTTTGAGGTCTAATTCCGAACCTCAAGCACAGTAATCAACTCGTAGAAGGAAGTTTTATACTCGAGGATGTAAAGTTCCTCACGTTTAAAACTTGACTCTGCATGGTTCCATGGAGCAGCTCTCACCTCTAAATATGAACATGAGACTAATTGGTTCTTTTATTTCGTTGCAGTGCTTTTATAGGAGTGGTTCTTTTCTTTTTTTCCAAGAATTTTCTACGCCCAGATGGTCTCTCCTCTCCGGTGCCCAGATTGCAGGAAATTGAACCCTCCAGTGCAAATCTTGCTGGAAGCTTCCGGGAATCTGGTTGGAAGCAGGTGCGGAAATCTCACTCTGTTTTCTCACACGAAAGCTTAACTCGATTCTCTTATTAGCTTCTGCTAATTGTTATCATCTTTCCTTCTCATACCCTAGGTAGTCGGACGACAGAATCTCACTTCAAAGTTCATGATCAGTAAAACTGTAAGGATTGTTCTCCCTTGACTAGAATCGACACTGCGATGTGTTCAGAAGAGTGATTCAGTTCACGAGCTGAGCTCTGCATCAGAAAAACGAACCGACGTTGTCTTCTTCCATGGTCTTCGGCTAGGGCCAGCGCATGAAGCGCATCTATCAAGTTGGAAATCTCGATCGAAGACAGGAGAAGTATGGTTGATGTGGCTTCACGAAGACAACCCTAGCTTGCGTATACTTGCAGTCTCCTACGACGCCAGCATGAAGAAGGATAGCAAAAATGGGAGAATGGATATATTTCAAGTATCAGAGAATTTGTTGCAGGAGCTGATAATGGCACGTGTTGGTAAAACCGGACCAGTCATTTTCGTTGGTCACAGTTTTGGAGGAATAATCGCAAAAGAAATTTGTCGACAAGCTCACCTAACTAGGAGCCTTGGTGAGAATATTCCAGCGGAAACCACTCTTCTTCACAACCTGAGAGGCCTATTTTTCTTCGGAGTGCCTCATCGTGGAAGCTCATTCACAGATGTTCTAGAAGAAATCAACTTCGAGAAAGGAGAGCTGGTTGACTACGTGAAGGTGTTCAGCAAAGACTTGGCAAGACTCAATCATGTTTTTGACCGTCTTTGTGAAAAGTACGAGTGGAGAGTTGCAGGCGTGGGTGAATCGTTACCTACGCTTCTGGTAACTTTCAGTAATCACTCTGCATAGCAGCTCCTTTGGACATAATGATCA